ATATATATCATGTTTCTACTATATATCAATTACATAAAAATATAAATTGTATTTAATTGATATACATAAGTCAATTGTTATGTACCAATTATTTAGGTGTATCACTATATCAATCATTTTGATAACCCTAAGAAAAGTAAAATTTGAACTCTATGACCTGTTTTAATATCAATAAAACAAGCCAAATACTGAATTATTCCTCTAAAAACAAATATTGCAAAATAAATTTGTATTCAAAATACAGAAATATTTCTCAATGTCAACAACTAACAGTTCAACAAAAAATGGAAAATTTCTGAACCAGACAATATCACACCATACAAAACAAAATCATGACAAATAATTCAAGGTACAAAATCAATATTGTTCCTGTGGACAAGGCATGATCTCACTGAAAAAAGAAATCAGTAAACACTCCCAAGAATGACAGCTTCAAAAAGTACTAATCACTGAGAATGAATGTAACAAAGAAAGTAAACATCCTCTAAAAGTAAAACTGTAGTAGTCAAAATAACAGAGAGACTGAAGAGACTAGAAAATAGACACACTTTGTTCCTGGACAGGTACAGCCAATCAATGCTGTCAAAATGTCAATATTCCCAAATATTTTATTTTTCATACTGGGGATCAAATTTAGGACCTTGTATTCCCTGATATTTTTAATGCAATTGTCATCAAACTACTTTCAGTGTTCTTTACAAAAGTATAAAGTACATGTCTACAATTCATAAGAAATCAGAGGGCTGGGAATTTAGCTCAGTGGTGCCACACCTGCCTCACAAGCCCAAGGTCCTGAGTTGGAGCTGCAGTACTGGAAAAGAAAATGAGAAAAGACCAAGAGTAGCCAAGGAACCCCTGAGCATAGGAGCAAAACAGGAGGAATCATTATTTGAGATTTAAAGTTATGTTGCAAACTTATAGTGATAAATATATCATGGTATTGTCACCAAAACATACACATGGACCACAATAAAATTCAGACTGAAGAAACAAACCAAGACACCTTTAACCACTTGATTTTGGACAAAGGGAAAAAGAACATACAATGGAGAAAGACAGCCTCTTCAAAGACTGTGCTGGAAAAACTCATGATCCTAGTACAGAAAATAAAATCCAGACCCATCTCTCATACATTCTCTAGAAAAACCAAATAAAAATGGACAAGAGAACTAGACATTAAACTAGAAACACTGAATATGATGGAACATAAAACAGATAAAGCTCTTGAAGATATTGGCAGGAGCAAAGAATTTCTGAACAACTCAATTGCACAAAAAATAATATCAGCAATCAACAAATGGGATTATGTCAAATTAAGATTTTTATAGCAAAGGAAACAACAGACTAGAGAAGCTCTGGGGTGGGAAAATCTTTGTCAGCTATTCCTTGGACAGAGAACTAACCTTTAAATTGTATTTTAAAAACTCAAAAACATTAAATACTCCAAAATAAAAGACAAAATTTTTAAAATGAGAACTCAAAGTGAATCGACACTTCACAAAAGAAGCATTTATGGCCACAAAATGCAGAAAAGTCTGTTCAATATCTTTGTCCATTAGAGAAATTCAAATCAAAACCCACTTAAGTTTGGGCTTGTTCCAGTAAGCATGCTTCAGGAACTCAAAAATAATACAGGTGGGGATGAGTGGAAAAGGGAACCATTCTGCAAAGTTTATTGCAAGAAGAAATAGTACAACCACTCTGGAGATTCCTCCAAAAAACTAAAACCAGAGATCCATTTGACTCAGGTATAACTCTTCTGGGCATCTTCACAAAATATTTAAGGACATCTTACCGAGTTACATGCATTCCCTGTTTATAGCAACACAATTCATAATACCTAAATTTTGGAAACAACCTACATATCCATAAACAGATGAGTGCATAAAGAAAATCTGGCATATATACAAAATGGAGTACTACTCACCATAAAGAGACAAATTTCCTGTAGGAGGCTGAGGTGGGAAGATTACTGTGAGATCGAGGTTAGCCTGGTCTTCATAGCCAGTTCAAGGCAAGCCTGAACTATAGTGAGATCCTGTCTCAAAAATGGAGATAAATTTGATTCATTTGTGGAAAAATGGATGCATCCTGAGACTATAATGCTAAGTGAAATGAGCCAGACACAAAGAGTTAAATATTGAATACTTTCCTTTATAGGAGAAACTAAACATATACATAATTGAAAGAGCTACATAAAAGAAAGGAGAAATGAAAAAGGGACATAGATTTTTGTGGGGAAGAGAAGGGGACCTGGGATTGGAAAGAGGGGAAGATTGGGAGGGAAAGGGAAAGGGAAAATGATTAAGGTGCAATACGTACATGTGCCAATTCCCCAGGATAACTGCAACTATTATGAATCGTAAGTGTACACCAATGAAAGCAACAACAAAGAGGATCTTGGCCCAGACTACAGTGTAGGATTAACTCTGCCTATCTCTCACTGAAAATGGGATGTGCTTTTATTCTCCCATCTTTTCTACCTCCACCCTTATGCAAACACTCAGCAGTCCAAACACCTAACCTCCTTGGGATCCATCATGGGGCCCAGACCCACAAGGCTGGAAGGCTTTGTATAGCACAATGGCAACAGACGCACAGAACTTCAACAGCCCAGAGGATGAGTTGACCATGATTACACAAAAGTTTGTGTCTCACAAAGGAAGAAACATCTTCTCAAACTGTACCTTTGGCCACTAGAAATTATGGTACCTAACCCTATCCAAGAAAACCCATTTATTCTGTGATCAGAGTGGCTTCCCTCTCCTTGGTCAGTGCTGTCTTCCCTCAAAAGAAGCCCCAAAGTTTCACATTCCTATGTGAGTGTCAGAAATACAGGGCTGGGTCTCTTTTCTATTCCTATCCAATCATAGGATCCTGTCCAGTTACTTGTCTTCTATTACCCTCTGTGTCACTCTCCTGTTTTCCGTCTCTTGGTTTCTGCTCCTCACCTCCTCCTCCCTCCCCACCTGTGGGTACACTGGGGTGAAATAAAGAAGCCCCTGCCCAGAAGTTCTCACTTCCCAGTAGGGTGACAGGGGAAAAGCATACTAGAAAACAAAGGCAATGGGATGGGACTTGGAAGTCATAGACACAAGGGCTCAAGTCACTTCCCCAGGGGCAGAGGAGTCTCTCAAAAATTGGGACAGGAAGGAACATGCAGGTGGAAAGGGCTCAGGAGGAGCCTGTGGTCTGCAGAACCTGGGGCTGCCCTGAGCTGTGAAAGGGCAAGAAAGGAAGGCTGGGAATCCACACAATGAAAACTGAGGGCTGCCCTGACAAACCCCAGAGCAAAAAGGTACAGGATGGGAAGCCTGGGATGATTTTAACAAGAATCAACAAATCCAGCAAGGAAGTAGGAGCTGTGAAAGGGTCATGTGTCCCACAGGTATGAGTTCAAGCAGAGGTGACTCTGGGCCGTGGAGAACAGTGTACACTCACCTAGTTGACCATGGCCCAGAAATACATGTCCAGGTCAGGGGGAGATGTGGTGGAGAGATAAGGTCAAAGCGGTGTCAGTGGGCATTTTCTCCCTATGCTGATGACCTCCTTCCAGCTGAATAAAAAAGTGATCTGTTCACATGTAGCAGCTGGTCAAGCAAGGGGCTTATTATGGCTTGCATCTAGATGTCCCCCTAAAGCCTCATGTGGTCACAGTGGGCTTTGTGGAGGTGGCTGGAGCTAGAGTATGTGATGCTGGGGTGAAAGGTATGATACTGGGATTAAGAGTATGTGATTACTAAGCTAGTCCACTTTGGTTTAGCATAGTTCTGGGTGTGGATAATGGGAAGGCCCACCCTGTGACACCCAAAAGGCAGGTATCCTGGAAGGGATAAAAGGGAGAATTTGCCACTGCTGCTGCTGCTTTCTGCCTTCTGCCTTCTGCCTGAGCTGTTTCTCTTCTGTGATGCCCCTCTGCTCTGTCTCCCTGCCTTGGAGCCAACCGACCATAGACTGAAATGTCTCCAAGCTGTGAGCTGAAATACACCCTCCCTCCTTTAACTTCAGGCATTGGGTGTTCAGTCTCAGCAAAGCAAAAAGTAACTAACACAGGCTGTTGATGATCTGTAGCATGGGGAATGGCAAGGAGTGCTGTCAGCAGGTCCATCTGTTACAAACTTAGGAATGAGAGAATTCAACAGCTGGATGTGACTTTGCCTCTCTTAACTGAATGACCATGGTCCTGTGGGCCATCAACTCAGTGAATGTTGACACTGAGAACTGATGACTCAAACAAATACCAGAGAGTCAGAATGTGAAACAAGTACGCTACCCTTTCCACATAAAAACAGAAGTATGCTTAGCATCTCAGCCATTAAGCAAATGCAAACTACAACCACAGTGAGGTTCTCCTTCACTCCTACTGCAGCACCTATCATCAATATAATTTAAGGTGGCAAGTGTTGGTAAGGAAGCAGAAATTAGAAACCTTACACATGGTGCAGGCTCTGGGTGAAATACTTAGGCACTTCCTCAAAAAGTAGAATATAGACCTACTATACTACTCAGCCTTTCCATTCCTAAGTAGATACACAAAAGAACAGAAAATATGTATTCAAACAAAAATGAATATGTTCTTTATCTCTGACAAGGTCATGGCACTGGAAAACAGCCCCATAACAAGTTTCAGAAAAGAAAGTTGGATCCAAATGGAAAAAAGAATTCTTCTAAGTGAGACAAGAGGTGAAACTGAAGTTGGACCATGGACTGGACATTCATACCAAAACCCTTTAACTTCCTTACATGGGGGCTCTGTGGTGGCTACCTGGGAGTGCCTCTACTTTGGGTAAAATACACTGCCATTTTTCTTACAGACTTGCAAATTAGGAAAGGCAGTAACCACTGGAGAAGGTGAGTGCATAAATGATGGGGTATCCATAACATGATTGCAGATGTCCAATAAGTTTGAAATTATTGGGAAATTAAATATTTTTTCTATGATCATTATTATTCCAAAAAAGAAACATCAAACATCACTATAGCAGGGACAGGGGTTTAGCTCAGTGGTTCTGCTGCCTGCCTGGCAAGTGGAAGGACCCAAGTTTGATCCCCAGTACCAAAAAGAAAAATCACTATAGCAGCTAAGTGTATTAGTGAGCTTTCTCACTGTGAAGACACAACTCCTGACATCCACAACCTAAAGAAGGGGAGGTTCTCCCAAATTTAAAGGCCTAATCAAAAAATGGGCATCTGAAATGAACAGACATTTCTCAGATAAAGAAGTAGAAATAGCAAATAAATACATGAAAAAATGTTCAACAT